TAGTAAAGATTTAGATGAGTGGGGCTGGCCCCGTGGCCAAGTGGTTAAGTTCACGTGCTCTGTTTTGGTGGCCCAGAGTTTCACTGGTTCAGATCCTGGGTGCAGACCTAGCATGGCTCATTGAGCCATGCTGAGGCAGCATCCCACATAGCAGAACTAGAGAGATCTACAACTAGAGTATACAACTACATACTGGGGGGCTTTGGGGAGAAGAAGAAAAGAAAAAAAGAGGAAGATTGGCAACAGATGTTAGCTGTTAATAGCAAGGCCAATCTCAAGAAAAAAAAAAAGATTTGGATGATTACTCTTGATTTCTGTTGATCCCATTCCTCCTGGAGATGGTCGTTTATCTTGGCCAGCCAGAGGATACACATGCATCTGGAGGGCAGCCGAGTAGGCTGTGGATCTGAGCTTAGGAAATCTTTAAAAACTTGGCTGAACTTTGGGCTTGGTAAGTCACCATATTCTGTTCAAAAGTGGGGGAAACACATGATTCCCTGTGTTTTGGAAGAGCTGTTTAAAACCAGGGCCCCTCACAGTTAGTAAGGCTAACTCTGGGGGTGAACTGTTTCGATCTTGGGAAGCCTGTATCCTTTTCATCCTTTGCACTCTCCTTTGGGGATGCCTCTTGCATCCACGGTTAAGCCATAAAAAGCCTTATTGTTGGAGTTGCTATTAAGATCCTGCTTGTCAATGGCCAGGCAATGAATCCTTTAAATGGAAAAATTTCTAAATTGGAAACAAATTTTTAAAGAGTTCTCCTATTGGTCTAATGGCTAGCCATTGAGATTCCCTCAATAAGATGGAAAGACAGAAATTATAACAAAACTTGAAGTCTGCTTAGACCCCTTCCTATTTCCCTTCAGACATTTGCAGATATTGAAAAAAAAAAATCAGGACATTGGAAGCACAATTGTCCAGCACTTAAGAAAAAGGAAAAATATATATATAACAGCTAGACTTAGGAACTCCCTAACAAGATGAGAAAACAAAAAATTTAGACTTAAAATAAAAATCCACTATAAAACCCCATCCTTAAACTCTGGCCTCGTCTGCCTGTTTCAGCTTCCCTCTTCCTACAAGATTTTCGCAGAGCACTCCAGCCTAATCTCTAAGAGTATATAGGTTACTCATGTAAATGCTGAAGGCCAGAAAATGAATTTAACAGAAGCACCAGGACAAGCAGTAAGGCTTGCTTTGCTGGGCTCTATATTCATGCCCTGCCAGCTTCAGGCTTTCCTATACAATATACTTTGTAGATATATCCAAGGATCTCCTCCCAGGGAATTCATGTCCCCTAGACAATAGCCCTTTTACCTCCACTCTGTGGCCATTCTGTAATGCCCAGTCAAGAAGAAAAAATTTTCACATTGTCCCTTCCTTTCCAAATCTGGACCCACTGATTACTGACTTTCTTTCTTTCCCTTTCTTTCCCAGGGATAGCTACTATCTTCTTGGTTGTCTTGCTTGATGTCCTAAGGGCTTGGCTTAACTTTCTGCCTGCCTGGGACAGGCAAGCTGTTGGTTCTTTCTTTTGGCTACCTTGGAACTGACTCTGGATCTTGGGAAGGTAATAACCATTGAGGATGCCTTTTGGGTCCATGGAGTTGTTTAATACCGCCGTATATATTTACTGTTTGTCCTGGCTGAAAACTGACAAGATATTTAGAAGGATTTTTTTAGTAGCTCTATGGTCAAAAATTGGCCAAATTGAAAGTTGATATTCAGAGCCTAATAGGAATTTTTTTATAGGCCTTCTTCCCTAACTTAAAACTATGTGACCAAAAGAAAGAAGCAAATTAGGGATAATGTAATTGGACAGGTAAATTACCCTATGATGTCATTTAAGTTACAACCCAATTTCTCAGGAATTGAGAACAACTATCCTTATTTTATAAATCTTTGCAAAACTGGAAATGCAGCTCTAGAGGCAGTTCAGATTCCACCTATTCCCTTTTACCAAACCCCAAACCTCCCCTATTTCTCTCGAAAGGCTTATAACCTCTCTGGGAACTCTTATCTAGACCATCCCCAAATGCTAAGACTGAAGGAAAAATTTAAACAGCAATTACCCCAAACTCCTAGGGAAAAACTTGCCTTTTTTCTCCCTGTCCCTTGAAGTTGTATGTATCACCATGTCTTTAGAACGTACAAACTCCAGGAGATAACGGTCCACAACGGCTGAGACTAGACCTGGCTAACTCAATCTGTAAAGCATAAAGTTAAAAAATAAAAAGGAAAAAATATTTTGTTTTAAAATGCAAGTTGTTAAAAAGGCTCTCAACCAAGATGTAATTCTTTAGGATTGCTTGTCTAGGGAAAATATAAACAAATCTTAAAAGTCTTCTCCATAAATATTAACAACAACAAAAGTAGGTAACCTTAACTTGTTCCATCTGCTAGAGACACAATTATTTATACACTAGCGAGTTTTGTATCATACCTGACTCATGGCTGAAATTTTTAAAATAAAAGTTATAAGATCTCTGTGTTTGTCCATATATATGTATGTCCATTGTAGATATGGTATTTTTCCACTTCTGAATGGTATGATCAAAATTCATTTCTAAAGAGCTCTATTTAATTAACTTAAAGTAAGTTTGTAGATATGGTATTTTTCCACTTCTGAATGGTATGATCAAAATTCATTTCTAAAGAGCTCTATTTAATTAACTTAAAGTAAGTTTTTATATAAATTACTTTTAAATATAACAGAAACTAACCCGAACATTTTTCAAATTAACGACGTAAAGTAATCTTTGGTAAATAAAAGCTTGTTTAAGTTTGTTGGTTTAATTAAAATAGGCATGTCTTCAGGTTTATCAGTACTGGATATAATGCAAACATACAACTTTTATTCTACCTGGATTATTAATAAAATAAGCCCATGTTATCTTTGTTACAAAATTTGACAGCGAGAATAACAAGATGATGGCTAACTCATTAATGTCTCAGGAAATTTTCATGAATAATCTAAGTATGATTGTTAAGAACAAATAAATTATATAGATGTTAAATGAAACAAGATTTTTTTAAGTGCAATAATTATATTTTATGGTATCTGTGCTTAAAAATAGCTTTCCCAAATCTTTTGGTAACTTGAAACTTTAGAGTTTTACTAAATAAAATTAAATGATGGAAAATTCATTGACTCTCTAGATCATTTCCAGATAAGATAAAATAGTAAAACATTAATTACTGAACAGAGGTTTGTCTACTTTTGGCTTCTTATAACAGAAAAACTAAAAGATAAATTTGAGTCTGTTAATAAACATGTTTTGTACTTTACTGAAAGAGTGTACTATGAAGAAACCTGTTTCTAGAAATTACAAAATGTATTCATAAGTATGCTAATATAAACAATATGGATATAACATGCAGTTCAAATTGCTTACTTGTCAGTTTTTACTAGAAACTAAGGTTTCCAAAGTTAATAATTCTAATTAATATACAAAATTAGAGCTACTAAAAATAATAAGGGAAAAATCTCTATATGCAAGGAAAATAAGATCTATGCTTTTGATTTAAAAAAAGATAGGAAGATCAGAGATACATTTTTGTTGAGAAAAAAATAATTTTGTCTCAAAATAAAGCTGGTTATTTTTAAACAAAAAACAGAACAAGGGACAAACTAAAATGGGCATAGAAAGTTATGGAAAGTTTATGAAAAAGGAATCTTTGGAAAGTGATTTTATGTATGGTCAGGACTAAGACTGGAATGAATTTAATTAAGTAAATGAGTTTTAATATCAAAAGTAAGTTGGTACAAAATTAAAATTTGGTTTTCTTTCTCTGTTAAAAGGAAAAAGGAGAGAGAGAGAGAAATATCTTACCTTATATGGTCAAGTTAACTAAAATTAAGTTTAAGAATTTTAAAAATAAGCTTTAATATCTATAGTATATTTACATAAAATTGGAACTTAATTTTCTTTTCATCTCTTAAAAGAACAAAGTATTCTTGGAATATTGGTCTGATCCTGATAAGAGATTATGAAAGGTTTTTCTTTACCTTTTTGTGTTTTATCAGAACACTTTCCTGTGCTTTATGTTGAAAGCTAAATCTTTCCTATTAAAAGAGCTAAAGTTTTGCAGCTATGTAAACTTCTGTATTTGTCTTTGAATTCTTTTTGCCACTTTGGTTTACCAGATAATTAAATATTAAGTTTCATAATTATCTGTGATTCTATTTAGCCAAATGTTTTAAAACCTCTTTGATATTTTTGACCAACTTCCCAAAATCAATTTCTAAATGAAGTGTTTTTCGACCTCTAGCCAACTTTGGGATTTTTCAGAGGATCCCTAAAATATCACAAAAAATTTATTTTCACTCCCTATAAATAGAGGGATATTAAACTAATTAGGCTTATTTGATACATTAAATTACATGGGAAGCATTGTCAAATAAAAAATAACATTAAGCCTTCTTTGTGTTGTAGCTATATAAGCATGTTATAAGAGTTCTAGAAATTATGTGAAATTCCTGGAAGTCTAATGTATCCTGGTATAAAATGCCATCTGTCATTAAAATTGAGGCTCACACTAAGAGGACTGAATTTGAATATCAGGAAAGCACCTGAGCTGACTTTCATGCAAAGGCACCAACAACAGTATCTATAAAGACTATATAGATGAAGTCCATTCCACTTCTAAAAAAAAAAAAAGACCCTTCATTGCCAGAATTTCCTCTTCCTAATGTCCTTGTAACATGGCAACAGCCACTCCTGAATCAGATTAAGATGGATAAACAATGGCTGTAAATTGAACAAACAGTAAGGGCTATGGGAAACCCAAGATGGCTGCTTGGCTCTTCCTGGCTCCCTGGTAAACCTGATTCCTCAGTTTTTACATTCCTTCGCCCACCACAGAAAAAACTATCTCTGTCCCCAGAGGACTCAGAACTCCTCCCTCTTGGTCCTTTGAGCACCTGCAGCTGGATTTCATTTATTGCCACTTAGTATAGGTTATCAATTTGTTCCAGTTATTGTATATATGTTTTCCAGATGGATTGAAGCCTTCCCTTGCCACAAAGCTGATGGCCTCACGGTGGCAAAGAAAACTGTTATAAAATGTGTTTTCTACTTGGCGTATACCTTCCAGAGTCTTCAGTGATCAAGGTACCCGCTTCACTGGGCAAATCCTACAAAGCTTAACAGAACCCTGGCAAACGTCTGGGAATTATCACTGTTTCTATCATTCTTGATGATCAGGCAAAGTTGAGAGAACTCATGGGAAAACTGGATTCAAGCAGAACAAGAATTAATTACATGGCATTAAATGAACTGATGAGGATGATTATAATTTTTATGACTTTTTGTCTGGAATATTATTGTTTTATTGTCTTTGTTTTTCCACATTTAAGAAAACCGTTTTTTCTTTTATTTTTTAAAGATTGGCACCTGAGCTAACATATGTTGCCAATCTTCTTTTTTTTCTTCTTCTCCCCAAAACCCCCCAGTACATGGGCCGTCAAAGTGGAGCACGCAAATTAACCACTTGACCATGGGGCCAGCCCGCTTTTTTTCTTTTCTCTTGAGCTATTTATAACTCATAGCAATTTGGTGAATTATACCTTTGTAAGCAGAATTGAAACATTTACTTTTTCTCTCTACCTGAGCCCCCTAGAATTCAGAAAGTCTCAGTGAGTATTCTTATTTTCATAACAATATATTTATTTGCATAAGTTCAATGAGAATCTGTTCTCCTTATAACCGGACACAATTGGAAACATTGCTTATGTTACCAAGACTTTGACTGAAATGTCATGTTTGAGAGAGACATGCACAAACTCAGATATGACCAATAATTTTAAGGAATTAAGGTTGACTCTACAAAGCCAATAAAACCCCTTGGAAAAAACAGCCTCATAGCTCACTTACAGGATTCCAAGGGGCCTAAGCAGGTGAGTACAGAAGGTCACTTCCTGGTAGATACAAGAACCTCAAGATATGCTGAGTCTCAAGAAGAGAGGAATTCATTCAAATCTATAGGTACTGCAGGTGGAGTATTTGGTATGGCTTCTTAGCCTCGAGAAGCTATTAAAAGTTCAATCTGTAAATTCCTTGTGAAAAGTTCTAGGAAACAAATGTAAAAGAGCCTATATAAACAATCGCTATTCTTGCTGTACTTATGTAAGTAACTTAAGCCAAGTTTATTGAAACTAGACTTATTTTGCAAACAAATTAGTCTTAATTTGACTATCTTTGATAAAAATAAGGGTGATTTTAGAGAGAAAAATTATGTTTCAGTAAAAACTATAATACATACTTGTGGATGTTAGATTCTAGTGCTATTAATTTTCCTTGAAGTTTTGTTACTTACCTAAAAACTGCACTGGATCCTAAATTCTTTTCGTTTCTTCAAATATTTGGCTACAACTCTCCAAACTAACATTTCCAACATTTCTCCCACTTTTGACTTGGAATCCTTAAGAACTAAAGCTGCCTTTTTCCCTGAAGCTCTGCAAACTGAAGCTGAACAACTTGATATAAACTTGAGATTGCCACAATAGCTCACGTCTAAACAATCTTTGTGCCTGTCACTATATGAACCACTCAGAAAGTATACCTGAACACCCAATGACATCATCAGAGACATTTCAAACTGCAAAAGATGCTTTGACCCTGACATCTAGAAATCTTCTTGACTGGCTGCCCCCTAGGCTCAGAAACTGGTTTATAATTTGCTCCAAACATTAATCTTTGTTTTTCTTTGTTTCCACAGAAAAACCTCTGATAAATGCCTGACTGCTTACACTGTAGCCCTAACTTTGGGAACCCATTGGCATCATTGCTTCCTGAAATGAGACACAACTGTTTAACTGAGCCGACCTATTTTCAAGACTAAGAAATTAATTCAAGGAAATAATGAAGCAATCTACCAGCTCAGCTTTTAATATGTAAAACTTCCAGGGAAATTTTAGAGGAGGGAACTGTTGGGGCCCGGGAAGACCACCCCAAAATATCCCACAATGGCATATTGATTATTTTGAATTAAAGTTTACTTGAGAAGCAAAAAGTACATGTGACCCTCCTGTCTCTGTTCCCCCTGAAAGCAGGAAATAAATCTCCCATGTGAAAGGTACTCTCCTTGCAAGCTTATCACCAAAGATAGAGAATTTAGGGCTGAGAAGCCTGTACAAACAAACCCTGTTAATTCATTAATTTATTACTTCAAGCCTTAACTCTGTTTAAATTCCTCCCTTATTATATACCCTAAACCTAAGTTTCTTTGTCTTGCCATTCCTCACAAATTTATTGTTCTTTGTGTAAGTATATATATTTAGAGAGAGAGAGAGAGAGAGCAAGAGAGAGAGAGAGAGATGGCCTGCTTTGTTCCCTCTCTGACCATCATTTCTCTATGATCTCCAGTATGTACACATTAAATTGGGTTTTCTCCTGTTAATCTGGTCTTATGTCAGTTTTATTATAAGTTCAGCCATAAGAACACATGTAGAGTAGAGGAGGAATTTCCCCCTCCCAAACACACTTGAAAAAGAAAGTGAAAGATTGAACAAAATTAGTGGCAGGAGTATAGGCATGACTTCAGCTGTTTGGAGATGGTGTGGCTTGGGTGAGTCAAGAAGGAGGGAGGTCAGAAAGGCAGTGAGATGATGGGCCCTGCCATGATTGATTACATGGAGGCCTTCCTTTCTGGTTTGAAGATACCCACTTTATCACTTAAGGAGGCTCACTGGCAATGAAAATGATATGTAGCTTGTTACTTGAAGAAGTTTACAATGAATTCAATGTGATTGTTACAGGCAGGGAGCTTGGAAAATACTCTATCTTTGCGTTCTGCTTTCTAACTTTCTGCCTTGTCCAGGTTGGTTTCAAGGACTATTTGGTTTTAGCTCGAGATTGGCCAAATTCCTTCCATGGGACGCAGAGTACTGGAGGTGGTAACTACTCTAAGGAATGTTAAATTTTAGAAACTTACATAGGAGTACAAGATTATTTCCCCTCTGATTTAAAAATTAGAAGTTTCCAAGCCAACCAGACTCAGGAGAGCTTTCCTTGGGGGAAGTGAGAGGGTTTCTCTGAAATCTTCTCCCCTCTGAACCCTTCAACATTGCTTTGTTTCTTTAAATGCCACATTTGTAACCTCACAATGCAAGGACTGAGAGCTCAACTCTGGAAAGAGCAGCCAGCCTCTAGAAGGATATGGAGTCCAGCAGAGAAAAGAAGGAGATCTCTAGCTTTACTTCTTTTTAGGGCAGTTAAATATCTTCTAGTGTAGAAAACTAAGTGGTGGCACCAGGCTGATATCTGTCAAATGACAGTTCAGACAAAAGGTGTCAAGCTGGAAAGGTTGCGTTGATTGGAGCCCAACCGAGCCTTCAGACACAGAATCACTAGTTCCCAGAACAGAGCTGTCAGCATACAAACGCACAGCATTCCCTCCATTGCTGCATTCTTCTGTGCCTTCAAAGGTATCCCCACTGAGCGGCTGAGGACACAGAATTGCCCTTTCTAGTCGATGGCCACTCCGAGGAACACCTGAACCTTTGCCATGTGGATTCTCTTACGCGTAAAAGAAGAGACTCCAAAATGGATATTCTTAACACGGCACCTTTCTCTGTCTCATCTCTGCATTTACAGGGCCCCAGGATTTAAGCCAGATTGCCCAGTTGAGTTCTCAACAGTGTAGGCTGAAAGAGAAGAAAAACACCAGCCCCTCTGACGGTCTTTTTTTTTTTTTTAAATAGGAAAAAAGAGCCAGGAAAGGAGCATTATAAGTAGGACAGTGCCCCACAGACATTGAGTTTTGACAACCTGATCCTCTAGAGGACTTAGCCTCGGCTTGTCATACAGATTTCAGACTGACTTGACCTGTTGTTTGCAATCCAACCTCTCTTAAAACACGGGTGGATATGAGGTTGTCAGGGTACTGGGGAATCTCCTGACCACTGGAAATTCCTCAGTCAAAAGACAGGAGGGTGGAAGTGAGGTGAGGAGAGGGCATGCCCTCTCTCAGTCCTGTTGATTCCATGGGTTTGCCAGGGGCTATGTGGTGGTCGGTACCCTGCTGTCCCTTCTCCATGCTCTGCCCTGGGGATGCATGACACCAGGTGCAGTGGTGTGTGAACAGGAGAAACAAGGGGCAATGAAGAAGAGAGAGCAGGGAGGACCATCTGAAGAAGATCTCCAAGAACTCAACTGTCATGAGGGGTAACCTAACCAGACCCGCCCCTTATTTTTTTGACCAAGTGATTTTGCTCGTTGCCGCCTGTAAGGACTATCCTTGCTTTTGGCTTTCCCTATTCTTGCTTTAGTTTTGAGTTTTTCCTTCTCTTCTTTCCCCAACCTTCTATGCTTTCTTTTCTCCATTGTCTAGCCCATTGGATTTGGTCTGTGGATTTTTGCATGATATTCTAGGGAAGGAAATGAAAGATTATTTTCGTTGTGTAGATGCCACAATAATTAGAGAAAGACGCCTTAGAGCAGCGGTTCCTGAAGGATTTTCCATGGGATATTAATTAGGATTAGATGAAAAAAAATGTTCACTGGTTACATAAATTTGGGAATTTCTAGGTCAAATAATGTTAATTAGACATTAGACAGGATCTCTTTTAGCTCTCAGTATTCTAACGTTCATTGATAAATATCTAGGAGGGACATGCAATGTGCAGCATCTTCCTATCTATCGATCAATCGAACATTTAATCCATCTATTGACCTACCTACCTACCTACCTACCTACCTATCATCTGTCTTTCTATCTATCTGTTTTCAGTAAAATTTCTTTTTTTTGTAGAAGACACTTTGAGAAATGCTGCCTTAGAAAATCCCAGCAGCCAAATATAGAAATAAGAATGTATATTTCATCAACAACCCAAATGAACATTGCAGAGGCAGTAAAATATAAACGGAGACACTCTGAAGTCTGACAGTGATGTTGAGGAAGTTGCTTCAGCTTTCTGATACTCACTTTCCTTAGATCTGAATGCAGATAATTTTTACCTCCTCTGGATTGTTGTGAAGAAAAAATAAGAGGTTGAAGTACTTAGAGAGTATATGATACGTAGATATAGTTGATCAATGATAATGATGATTCCAAGTAGAACTGCAAACCTAGGAGCCAACGCATGAAATAGTGTATACAAAAATACGCTTTGTAAATTTCAAAACAGACTGCAAATGTTAGCCAAATACTAGCAGGTGTATTTATGAGTATTGCATATGTGCTTTGGGTTATGGTGTTGTGTATACGTAGCTCTTTCTTTCCATGGAAATCAAACCACCTTATTTGTGTTATTTCATAAATAGAATGTGGAGCTGGAAAGGACTTAAAGATCGTCTAATATGAACTTTTCATGTAATAAGTGACACAACTGAGTCCCAGAGATTAGGCAACTTGCCCAAGGTCACACAGCTAGTTAGTGGCGGAACTGGGACCGCCAAGATTCTTCCTGTACACCCACACACTAAGAACCACAACTTTGGGAATTTAGAAGGAAAAAAACAATTTTTAGTTCTTAATAATATGGATGGAGAAACTGAAGTTCTGTGCGTTGAAGTGAGAATTCTTTAAGTTTAAATGAGCATGTTGCTACAATTCTCTTTCTTCCTGCTCTCCACACCTCTCTGAGCCCTTTGTGCAGGCGTGTCCTGTGCTGCATGTGCTCTGCCATCCCTCTTCGAGGTCCCCCTCCTCAGAAATCCTCATAACCTCTCTGACTCAATGCTACAAAATGCATGTGTGACTATTAACCTCATTCTAGCTTCCAAGGGGTTTTCTGTAGTGTGTGGTGCATAATTTATGCGTGCATTTATATATTCCCATGACTATTTGCCTTTTGTTCCACTTCAAGTGGGTCTGTTTGTCCCATATTCCTCCTTAGATTATAATATCTATAATCAAGGAAGGAGAAAAGGCAGGCAGGATCCTGAAAGTTTTTGAGTGCCAGCTCTCTATCAGGAACTGAATTAGATACTCTCACATAAGTCATCTTACTTAATCCCCACATCGACCTTCCAACCAATGAGGAAATTGAGGTTCAGAAGGACGGGCTGACCTCACCCAAGTGCCCAGCAGAGCCAGCATTCAGGCCGGTGAGCTTCCAAAAACCATGCTCTCTCTAAGCCACCACATTGTCTGTTCCGTAAACCTTCCGCACGGCCAGAGGGCACACCATAGGGGCTTGATAAATGTTTGCAGATAGTGATAAAAGTGCTTTCTTTACGACTTGGAGAATATTCACTTGCAAGTCTGTACTTGGGAAGTTAATTTAAACGCCCGTGGAAAATTTACCCCAAACCTGTGGGAAATAAATTGAGGCTAAAATATGAGGAAGAACACTTGATCATGAAAGCACAAGAATATTGTATTAAGTTAACATAAATACTGGCTATGTTTTGCTCATTCAGAGTGAAGTGCTAGCCAGCACATTTTGGGAGTCTCAAATTGCCACTGAAAGCTGCATCCATGCACATGGAGGCAAAACTGTTCCAGAAGCATTCTGAACTACACTTTGGGATTCGCTTATCGGCTACATCCAACAGACAGTGATGGGACTGGTGTGTGTGTGGCTCCAGGCTCTTTGCTGAGCTCACTGCAGACAGGCCATGGATGTGTCCCCTCCCCATGATCAGAGCGGTGCCAGTTTGCTTGAGAAGTTATAACTTACCCTGTTCAAATGCTGCAAGAATCCTTCCACCCCTCTTTGAGTCTAGCATCCTTTCCAGCTATTGCTACTTGATGTGAGCTTCCACAGTTAGTGGCATGAATGTGCCACCTGCTTTGTTAACCCCCTTTCGAAATGATTTGACTAATCTGCAAAGCAGTACCCGGAATGGTAAATCTAGACAACGACAAAGAAGCACCACAGTGGATAAGTATATTCTTGGTAAACTAATTTTTCCCCCTGCCACTCTCAAAGCAATATAAACTTTGTTGTTCCTCCTGGATCTCAAATGCTTGTAATAAATTCTTTGAAATGTCAGTAATGTGGAACTGAGGGGTTTTTTAAGCATATTTTCTTTCTTTCATAAAAGGAAAAATTGTTC